GTTCTCACTATGATGTGCTGCCTTGTCACAAAACTAAAAGCAATAGGGCCAATCAGTCACAGACTGAAATCTCCAAAACTGTGAGCTAACATAAATCTTTTCTCTAAGTTCATTGGCTTGAGTATTTGTTATAGTGACACAGAGCTAACTCACACATACTTTCTGCATTCTGTGGTCCATGACTTACTCACATTTTATCCAACATGAGGCTCCTTTTAGAGCATTCACAGAAGAACACACTCTGTTACAGAAAACAAAGACATACAAATCTAGATTCAAGCGAGAAACATTACTTAATGATTGCCATAAAATTTTTACCACTTGCTCTCAGTTTTCTTTTTGGACAAGTAACACACAACTGTGGCATGGTGGCAGCCTGCAATTCACATTTTGAGTAAGTAGCAGCACTGTTTTACAACTGCAGTGTCTCTTGTATGGACAGCTCTATGGTGTGTGTCCTCCGATTTACAGATGAGGACATAGGATCAAATAGATAAAGATGCCCAAGGATTTGCAGGTACTGGAGCTGTGAAACTCACCCACAAGAGGACTCAGGTAGAATTAGGGAAAGGATTCCTGTCCCCTGAGCTAGCTGGCTTCCGTCTTCACTCTGTGCACTGTGGAGAGCATACCTTGCATCATGGTAAGATGTGGCTCTGTTCAAACCACACTCCCCAGCCTTCCTTTGCCAGGCTGACCAGGTAGGGGCATAATATGGGGAGTAAGAGACAATAAGAGTCTTGGTCAATGGCAGTTGAATGGGGAATGGGGGCACACACCTATAATCACAGCACTTGGGAGGATGTGGCAGGAGATTCTCAAGTTCTATGCCAACCTAGTCTACAGAGTGAGAACCTGTCTCAAAAGAATGACAGTTGAAGTTGAATAAAACTCAAGTTGGTGAAAGCTGCCAGCTTTTATTATTTTCAGTGTAAGCTTGTGCTTATCTTTAAACTTTGGAATTCTTTTTAATTTCATTATTATAGCTATTCTAGAACTCCTATCACTAGAAATTTCTGTGTAAAATCAGCCAGTTAAGAGATCCAACATAGCACTGAAAAGCAAATTAATATTTAATGATCTAAAAAAAGTATTTGTGAATATATTCCCCCTAACCTTACTGTTTTTATTTCATTGGACTTCTTTCCCCTGCTGGCTTAGTTTATAAATTAAATGATTAGTCCAAGGATATCTGCTTGATGCAGCAATTATTCATACAAAAATTTGGTTAATGTTAATTTTAGCTGCATTTCTAATTCTGTTAAAGGTACCATGGTCCTGAATGTGTTGACTGGGGCCACATATGTGGGCATCTTGGTTTTCTTCTCTTCCATGGCCGGGTACAAGACCTGTCAAAGCAGATGTGTCAGTCAGTAGTCATTCTGAATGACAAGGAAATACTTTAGGTGGAGTAATCATTTACAACTACTGAAGACTACTCTGAGCTAAAAAGTTTCCAAATTTTCTTTTGGAAATTGTGGGAAAGGAAGGAAAGAGCAGTAATTCTCTTGTAGAATTAAATGCCATAATGAATGTATGAGTTTTCTTTCTTGCTGTAATACGCACTGAATGAATCACTGTGAGAAAGAGGCTTCCAAGCATTGTATTTTCTGTGTTTAGCTTCTTATAGCTTTCATTTATAGCAATAAGCACACTGTGCTAGGCAGATTGCTAAGAGTGCTGGGCATATCGTCACACTCATGACCCATTCCAGTGTTTTGAGGTTGGTGTTGCTGCTAACATCTTTCTAGGCAGGGGCAGAGGTTTTCAAGTTCTGGGGTTATGTTTCTAGAATGCACTACGAAGCAAACAGGAGAGCTCTGAAGTGCAGATCTGTGCGCCATGCTCTGAGCACTGCCATCCTCTGGGAACTGGTTGGAAAGGAGACATCTCAGCCCTGTTCATTCACACTTAGGGATCAGAATCTGTGTTTAGAAAAGGTCCCAGATGATTCTGTGCAGTTACACTTTGAGAAATGCTGCTTTTTTTTTTTTCACAGAGTCCAAGTTTATAATCTCTTGATGTTTATTAAGAGAATTGGTTGAATCTGATATAACTTAAGGAAGATTTGAAAATGAGCCTTTTTTCTTCCTGATTCTGTGGGTTAATTCCATGGACTTCAAATTTGTAAATTCTGAGTTTTCTGCTTTTTTTGGCTAGGGATTCTGAGGTAATTCTAGAAGAATCTGCTCTTTCCATTGTATCTGTGGCCACTGGATTCTAAGAATGTTCTAGTTTGAAAGCTTCATGTTCTTGTTATCCATGGAATTGAGAAAAAGGCAGTTGAGAATGGTTCATAATACAAAGGTTGAATTACGTTAGGGAACTGTGACACCCATGCTTTTGGACATCTGTCCTCTCCTGAATGTGTTACCTTCCAGAAGATGGAGGATAATTATTACTCTTATCTATTGTCTTAATTTACATTTTAATGTAAATTAGTTTATAATCAAGTACTCTTGAATTATAATGGAAAAGGCAAGTTTTAGGAACAAACTGAAGCATTATATATAACCTTTTCAAAAACTAACCCTTCGTTAAGAAAGAGTAATAGAGGAAATGAATTTCATCAGCGTACATTATATACATATGTAGAAATATCACAATGAAACCCATGTACAATTAATTTATTCTAATAAAATAGACGCAAATAGGTTAGGAAAGTAAAATTATATAAAATTCTATTCTCATGTCAAAAAAAAGGTTTGAACTTAAAAAGACTAACCCTTAAACATGGGCCACTCAGATTCAAAAAGTAAAGGTAAAGGGTCAGGAAACAACATAGATATCAGCATTTTGAGAGGATACTCAACCTAAGTTTGGAGCATGGACAGGAAAGGATGAGACTGGTTCAGTTTTTAGAATTACCAGGAAAACAAATTGATGCTTCCTACTTTCATTCTTCCTGCTGAGTAGGTTTGTGAGAGGGCCTGAGAACTGGTATTTTCAACTTCCCAAGTGACCATGAAGCCCTCAGGTTTAAAGAATACAGTTTGAGGAACACTAAACTAGATTTTGGGAGACCAATTGCAAATATTTCGCTATTGATCTATGTAGGATATAATATAAAAATAAACACTGACATTTAGGAGGAGGGGTGGCTTCGAAAGATAAAAGTGTTATCATTGACTGGACTTGATTCCAGACTGAGGATGCAAATGAGGGGAAGTAGGAGTGTAGCTGGATTTCTGGGTGTTCACTGTGATAGGTCATTGGAGAATGATGGTACCTTTATTTCAATGCATGGAATAAAGGAAGAGGAGCTGGCTGGAGATTTGGAGGGTGGGACTGCTAAGAGTCTGGCATTAGACATGTCAAATGGAGGTTTCTGTGGGTAACTGAGGTAGGAATGTCCTTTAGGAAGTAGAAGCTTGCTGAAGTAAAGATGCAGGCACATACGTCCATATGGTAGAAATTATAGACCATAAAGTAAAGAGAATGAACTACAGACATGCCACATGTAAGGTGAAATCGGAGTAATTCATCTTCAAAAGGACTGAGAGGGTTTTTGTAAGGGTGTGAGCAACATGTCAGCACCCCAGGAAGGCCAAGTGATAAGGATTCAAATGTGCCATTGCTTTTAGGGCCAGAGAATATAGTAAAAGCAGTTTGTCAGATAGCTCAGATAGGATCCAGGATGCATTTATATAAACTTAGAAATTGTTTTCTAGGGTAGAGTATGTGCCTTCTTCTCTGATACCCAAATTCCTGTTTTTCCAGTTCTGAAGAAGGCAGTGGTATTGATAGAAACAGTTTGTTGAAGTACTTGATGCATATTTAAATTTTAAGCCAGTTTTCCGAGGTTAAATTTAATATAGTGCTGGAAGAGCAAATTTATAATAAAGACTTCAGTCACTTTCCACCTGAGTCTTTCAGAAATGACAGGGAAGTTTTGTGGTTGGTCCTTCTGGAAGTGTTTTATTCCCTACCCCCATTCCTGCTGAGGGACCAAGAACACTTTTTCCTGCCTTTAAGAATATTGTTTGATTTTACTCAGTTATTTTGTGTGGGTAAAATTATTTTATTAGCTTCCTGATTGACTCAACTTAAGCCAAAAAGAAAGACAAGATTAACAAAGGTGATAGTTACTTAGGCAGTTATCATGTCTGGCCATTTGATCAGAACCATTTTCCTTTTCCTTTAACATTTTTCTGAGCAGACTTAAGAGAATGGGGAGAATACACATGTAGGAATTGCTGACTCTGAAGTTTCAGGGCCTGGGGTAAGAATTTCCTGAGCAGGATTTATTGACGGTGCATAGCGTCTGGAGGACATGGCTGGAACATGTCTGTTGTATAACAGTTCGCCCACCCAAAGCTGCCATGGGTGTGTGTGCGCATTGATTCTTCCAGATCTCCTGACAGCCAGATTTGAGATTGAGCCAAAGTGGATGTGTTCCTTCCACTTTGATGTTTGTATTCCTCTATTAGCTAGTTGGAAATTTCTCCACAAAACGTGGGTCAAATGCAGAATGAAAGAAACTGCCAGTAGAATAGCAAGACTTTTAAATGACCCAAATAAAAGCACATTCTCTGTTTTATGGTACAGCTAATCTATTGAGACAGATTCTTTGTGCATACTGGTATTTTGCCCTTATTGACCAGCTTTTCAAAGCTTCATGTTAAAAAAAAAAGGAACTTTCTTTATATCTCATGCTGTAAATGATCAAATGTGTAATTGTTATTTCACAGAGATCAGACTAATTTTCTAGACAATTAGAAATTCTACTTCTTGACAGATCAGGCTCTTACAAGACTGGTAAAGAACATGACTTTGAGGCTGATTGTGAATATGGGGTTGGGGGTACTGGTAAATTTTTAAGAATTACTATAGAGAGCCCTGAAACTCTGTTCAAATATTAGAAAAAAAACCAGTTTGGAATATTTAAGGTAATGCCACAATGTGTTTTCTCTTAATTTGTTCTTCATTTAACATGAAGAAGACATTATTAAGCATACTGTAGTTTAAATTAATGTTTATCCTTTTTCTTTCTTGAGCAGGTGGTCAAGTTACTAAGCAACAAAAGATCACAAGCAGTTGGAATTTTAATGTCTAGTCTTCATTTAGATATGAAAGACATACAACATGGTAAGTATAAGAATAAAGTTCACCTTTGAAAATTAAAATTTGGGTAGAAGTATCTGATGTTTGGTGATAAAATTATTTCATACTTATCTGTATGTACTGAAGTTAGAATGCCTCCTGCAAGTGCCACCAAACTTTCTGCCATGATTGCTTCTGGAAAGGTTATTGTTTTCTTTTCTTCTTGTACCTTGCTAAGGGCCTAACCCTCATTGATGTTATTGTTCTACAGTTCTATGATTTAAAAAAAAAATTACCATTGATGGGTGGATTATTCCTCACAGTTCAGGGGCTAGGTTCCAGCCCCTGAAGGTCAGGGTTTCAGCAGAGTTGGGTTCTGGGAAGTCCCTGTTCTGGGTTGCAGTTGACTCTTTTCTGCATGGATTCTCACATGGCAAAAAGGGGAGAGTGCTCTTGTTTTGTAAGGGCACTAATCCCATTTGTGAATGCTCCACGTTAGAGATCTGGTCACTCCTAAATATCCCACCTAGTACCACAATTACAACATCATTGGGAGGTAGAATTACAGTATATAGATAAATTGGGCAGGGGGAACTACACAAATATTCAGTCCATTGCAAATATATTTAATCTGTTATTAATAAGTATTTAATTTTTTATATCCCCAGAAGTACTAGTCCCACTGGGCTCTGTAACTGGTTAGACCATAGCTGAAGTGTCTACTTCTGGTTATCATGCCCACAGAGTTGTGGGCAAATACTACGGGGAGCCAGATAGTGGGGTCTACCCCAGACATCCGAGTATCTCAAGGAGACGGTTCACAGGAGGGAAAAGTTGGTTGGACCTCAAATCTCAGGTGTTTGATGACGTAACATAAAAAAGAGGCCCTAAGATTCTGGCTGGCCTGTGTTAACCAGATGCTTGTTCTAATTGTTGTTTAAGGATGTTCTTATGATTAGAGATGTTGTAAACTAGACTGTCATGTTTAGATGGACTGAAAGAGGTTTTCAAGAGACTGCATGACCTGTTGTCTTGGATGTCTTCAAAGCATTGGATGGGGAATGGGACGTTACTCAGTCTTCCTGTTCCAGAGCACGGTGAGATGCTGAAAGACTAAAAACAACTTCATTATGCATGGCTCTTTAGGGTAGAAAACGTCTTCTAGGTATTCAGGACAACTATAATGTAAACCCTTGGCCTTTTCTACCATAGAGGGATTGAATTGCTTTTTCTAATGACCACCAAATATGGTTTCAAATCATTCTTGCCAACTTATATTGTTGACAGTGTCCAGACACATGGAAGCAGTAATATCATGACATCTTGTTACTTCTTTTATGTTGCTGTTTTAACTTACTTTTTTTTTTTTGGCAGTACTGGTTTTCAAAGTCAAGGTTTTATGCTTGGAAGGCAAGCACTCTGCCACTTAAGCCACATCCCCAAGCCCTTTTTATTTTAGTTACTTTTCAGATAAAATCTTCCACATCTTGCCTAAGGCAGACCATGGACAGCATTCCTCCTACCTATGCCTTCTACATAGCTAGGATTATAGGTATATGCTACCATGCTCAGTTTGTTTGTTGAGATGGGCTCAATAATTTTTTGGAGGCGCTGGCCTTAAGCCATGATCTTCTGATCACCACCTCTCTTATAATTGAGATTACAGGTATGAGCTATCACACCTGACTTTAACTTAACACTAAGTATCCTATGTTTGGAATTAAAGTGATTTGTAACATTTCTAAATGACTTTTCTATCACTATTTTAATGTTTGAATTCTGCCCTATGCTTGACAGGGATTCCTATGCCATAGGCTTCTATAATATTTATGCTGAGAGATTTTGCCCAAAGGTGAATTCATATTCTGAATGGCCCTTATGTCCCCAGAACCTTTAAGATGATTTAAAGCAGATTGAATTATCCAATAGAATGTCAGTTTACCTATTAAAGAAATATGGTTTCAAGTATAACACAGACTTTATAAATCATGAAAACATTTAACTGCCTTTCTAGCCTACACTTTATGAATGTGGAGTCCATTTGTTAGGCCTAAAGCCTTGTGTGAAATAATTCATAAATAACACAACTGTGGGTTGCCCTGCTGATTGATGAGTAACTCTTAATCACAATTTATGTTTTTGTTAAATTGATTTGATGGTGAGGAGACTTCCTTGAACTGAAACATTTGGGCTAATAGTCATAGACGAGAACGCCAGGGCTGGCGCCAAAAAGGACGTGGTGTTTCTAAAGCTGGCAGACATAGGCCCAATGAAATCATAGAATGAAATCTGAAAATAATGATATGGTCTTTCCCTTCAGTCAAATATTCAACTCGGGTTGAGCTAATAATGAGAACCGTCTGAACAAAGAGTCTGCCTGACATGTGCGTCTGTGGCACGGCCAGCAAGAGGTCATTGAAAATTTGCTTGCTTAACATGCAACGTGAAGAGGAACATGGCATGAATGTCAATAGTTGGAGGGTCAAAGGGAATTATGTGTAAACTTTATTCCACTAGGATTGCTTGGGTCACTTTGAAACCCTGCACACCCATTTTCTAAAACCTCATCACCTTCAGAGGCTGCAGAAGCAAGCAGTTGTGCCTTTCCATGAAGAAAGTGCTGTTCTGCCTCAGTGTACTGCCTGGGGCCATGGCTCCCATGTGGGGTCACTTGTGGCTTCTAGAGTAAACTTTGCTTCTCTCAGGATATGCCTCCACTGAGAAATCCACAGAAGCATAAACATCATTCACTTGGGATGTAGAGCGGCCACAAAATTTATGCAAACCTTAGTGTCATTTTATAGAAAAGCAAACTAAGAAATGTTCACGGCTCAGTTTCATTTTCAGTGCATTGTGGCTCTAATGGAAGTGCTGACCTTGCATGGGGCCTCTTCACTAACTAGGCTCGGGCTTTTGTATCAGATGTGTGATTTGCCCAGGATTGCAACTTTCTTACAGTCAGCATTGGTATCTGTGAAGCAAAGCATATGTAATATTGTTTAATAAGCTATTCTAAACCATCAAGTGGGAGTTTTCAGAGATGGCATGCTGCAGTTTCACCTTCCCATCAAGAGACTGCTAGAACCTGCAGCTCAGTTTAGAAGTTGCCAGATAGATTCACTGCTGCACCTGGCAGCTCAGGCCTCATCGTAACTTTTCTCTACACACTGTTGATTTGGGGCTATTCCCTTATATTTGGTGGAACTATTTTCTCTACCTTTCTTTCCTGTTAAAACTCCAGAAAAGTTTAGCCTTTAAGTTACTTTGTAATGTTTCCATTTTAAAGTGCTCTGTTAATGGTGATGAGTGTAAGATTTGGATTCCAGGTGTCAGAAGGTCAAATGCACCACACCATGCTCTGCCTCTCAGGCGAAGGCAAGTTATTCTCACTACAGGAGGTTTTCTCAGCAACATATAAGGTTAGGAAACAGGAGAGAGGGACTGGGTGCTTAAGTAAGTTTACTAAATGCAGCCTCTGTGCATGCGTGCGTGTGCGTGCATGTGTATGTGTGTGTGTGTAACTTGCAAGGTGTGTGAAACTTACATAGAAAGCAACAGTGAATCTCCCTGGCAAATTCTAAACTGACCTGCATGTTCTAGTACTTCTTTGTAAGGGGGCTTACTTTTTGTGTTTAAGGACCCAGGGACACTTTGGGTTTAAGATCAACTTAAATCAAGCTCCAAGGGTCCTGTCAGGCAGTAATTAACTCTGTACCCATTACTTCCCTGAGTCCATAGTGTTGTAGGTGCCAGTCTATTGTGGGGAGGGTCTGGAAAACCCCCACTTGTGTGGGCTTTGGGCCTTGATATTTGGCTCCAGGTCCAGCAAGCTGTAAACAGAAAGTTCACATTTGTTGGGATAGGTTGGGAAAAGTCTCAAGCAAAAGTAGTTTGTGAACCCCTTCACTTCTCTGGGTTCCTTCTTCCCTTTTGTGTAGCATGGTAATTTCTTACTGCCTTGTCAGCTCTTGAGTGTGTTTATGATACTTTACAAATATATTTTATCCAGTCACCTTTTAGTTGTTTAGTGGGAGAATTGATTCAAGTCATATAGCCTGTTACTTCCACACATTAATTGTAGGAATGTATCTTTCAGCCTTTAGTACTAGTTTAGTTTTGTGGAAAGATGCTGAATTTTTTATACAACATGCAGTTCATATTTTAGGGATCGATATAGAATTCACAGGTCTTAGGTTCATTTTGGTAGATAATAGTAGCTGGAAAAGATTTCAAATTCTGTAAGGCTTAGCTTTATCCTCTTCCCCCACAATCTCCTTACTAAGTAGAATCTTCCAATTTCATTATCCAAAATGAGATACTTTTGAAAGTGTGGAAAACAAGTGTAAAATGGAAATTTCTCAGGTTCATTAATAGTCATTACTACCAGATCAAACTGAAGCAAGTTTCAGATGTAATCCTCCCTCATAGTACTGATATTTATTAAACAAACATTTATGGGTTTGCAGAAACAACTGAAAAACCTGCCACAAAACTTGAGGTTGGCTGGCTCTCTGCCCTTAAGGTACTTCACGAGGCTGACTGCACACAGATGCGAACACATTATAAGGTGGACTCTGTTGCTCTTATAATTTGCACCAGGCATCTAGAGACCCAACTCAGTCAGCCTCTACATCCAGCCCTGTTTATGTCCTAAGCGCCAGGAAAATGCCTTAAAGTTCCTTAACCATCCATATTCTCTCTGTGGAAGAGGAGGAAACCATTTTAGATAATTCATATACCTTGAGTGAATAGTTTTACCAACAAAAGCCAGTTGCAGACTGTATTCTAAGTTTTAAAAAGGCTCAGTTGATGTAGGTGGGCATAGCTGGGCAGCTTGCATTAGATGTCTCTGGAGTATGGCCTTGATTATATAGTGCTGGGCAGCCATCTGTGACTCCTGCATGGACCCTTAGTGGGACAACTGGCTGCCCTTAGAATCAAAGCTTTAACTAGCTCCTGTACACGTTTGCATTCCCTCTCTAAATGTAGTTCCAAGTAGATTATGGGCATTGCAACAAGGGGAATCTAAAATGTGCTAAATGGTC